AGAGGTTTGGGTGAGGCGTTTACCCCGGTGTGTTACAAAAAAAAAACATGTTAATGGTGCTTGATCTTTGTGTGCCTATCATTACCGCTCCTCGCCGTTGCATCCACCTGTTTGCTTTCAATCAACACTCTAGGATGCATGCTTCTATTTGACAGCTCGCCGTTGTCGCTCCCACGTTATCTAGTTGTTGTCACATCCCCCGCCACACCCAGATGACTGTCACCACCGTACTCTACCGATCCCTTCTACTTCCCCTTACGACCTCGTCAGGGTCTACTTCCGGATCACACTTCCAAACAAAGATGTTGCTCTCTATATCTCCCTCTCTTCCCAGCGTGCTCTGTCAATCTCTTCCCCTTCCCCCTATGACTGCGTCAGGGTATGCTCCCCGATCACACTTCTTGAAAATCTTCGCTCTCTATACCCTTTTTCACATCTCGACTCGGTCTCGTCCGCTCTTATTCCCCCTTTTTTCTCCGTTCCTATTTGTCGTTGTCGCACATCCGCCTTACCCAGATGACTCTCTTCCCTTCCCGCTCTTTCTCACCACTTCCCCCCCCGCCCCCCACCAGGGCCACCACCACCATGTTTCAGACCTCTTTCCCTTTTCTGTCCTATTCTCCCTCTCCTCTTTCCTTTCTTTCCGACATACTTTCCTATCCGTCGATCTTTGTTTGTCGTTCCTGCCTTCTTCCTTTTCTCTCTTATTCTCCCTCTCCTCTGTCCTCTCTTTCCAATGCACTTTACTATCTATCAGTCCCTGTTTACCTCCAGCCCGTGTTCGGTCGTGTCCCAGCATTTCTTGACAACCTCTGACTACTTTTCCTTTCTCCTGTAACAACTTTCTGGTCGCTCCTGCGTCAGGTTGTATGTTCTCCGATCCCAATTCGAAAAGGTCGCCGCTTTCTGCTGCCTATTCACCCTCTCCTTCACACATTATTTTCGTGTCTCGACTCAATGTCGTCATGATTTCGTCTTGTTCCAAGAGTTGTACTTCGCTGCCCACCATCAACGCCAGGCAGCCTGGCACTTGCAGCTTCCCCGCCGCTCTTCACTCAACAGCAGCTATGGTGGAATACACGGAGGCGAGGAGGTCCCTCACCCGGTCGAACTGCCCATGTCAACCTGTGGCGTGGTATCGGTCAACGCTCGCCAACCTCTAGTTTTCCCAAAAAAGCAAAGAACAGATTGGCTGAAACTTCGGACACCACTATGACTAGCCTTGCCATCTTGACCTGCGTAACTCTCCGTACGTCGTATGGGGCTCTGCTCGTACGACCTCTGCTCGTACGACCGTATGAACGGCCCTGTACATAATGACGAACCCCCCCCCCCAAAAAAAAAACGAAAACAAAAAATAAAAATATTAGGGTGTAGAGTTTTTCGTGCTCTAGATCCCCATATTTTTTAATTTCTTTTTGATCTTTTTTATATTAAAAAAAAAATCATCACAATAGGGAAAAAAAACAAAATAAAAAAATAAAAATTGATTGATTGATTGATTGATTGATTGATTGATTGATTGATTGATTGATTGATTGATTGATTGATTGATTGATTGACTTAGTGATTGATTGATTGATTGATTGATTGATTGACTTATTGATTGATTCATTGACTGATTTATTGATTGATTAAAAAATAAAATAAAAAATCCGTAGATAGGCACACAACTATGCTAGAGCGCACACTCCCTCTCTCTCTTTGTAGTAGAGATAGGCAAATCTCCATGCAATGACAATCCCCAAGTGTGAGCACTCAAAGCCGAATGAAACGACAGAGAGAAAGAACAAGAAAAAAGGAAGAAGAAGAAAGAGAGAGAAAGAAGAGGAAGTTAGAAGAGGAAGTAAGAAGAGGAAGTAAGAAGAGGAAGTAAGACCCGTGAGCGCATCACCTCAATATTCAAACAAAAGAGGTGAAACCCGCCATAACTGGCGAGAACCACCTTGTCATGAAGCACAGCCGGCAAAAAGAACCTGACAGCTATTTCGGCCGGCTTGCCAGAATCGGTCCTTCTCAGGGGTCGCGCTGGGTGTGACTTAAACAGACCTATGCGAACTACTTATAGTGCTAGATTATCAACTGCGGTCTACAAAGGGAACCTTTAAGCCAGAAGGAATAGTCTTGCAGTTCACCAATTCTTCCAACGGGTTAGGCTACGGACCCATGGGGCCAAGACCCCTCAAATCTTGTCATTAAAATGAACGAGGGCCTGGTCAAAATATAGGCCCGGAATATTCTTGTTTCGCAGTTCAACCTTCAAGCTCAAAAGAAACCTCGCTTTTGTTCCGAGTAAAGTGGCCATAGAATATGCTCTATGAAGAAACGAAGAGATCACAACAAACTTTTGCTCCTTACTACAACATGAATTAAAATCTTGTAAATTTTGAAACACCAAACCTTCGCCTCCCAAAAGACAATCCTGATTCTTATGGAGAGCTTGACAGTAGACCTTTGCTGGTTGTTTATCAATGAGCACTCTACATCCTAAGTACGGCCACTCGTTCGACTGGCTTGTCTGTTCCAGAACTAAGTGCTTATCATAGCATTGAGATTCAAATTTATGAAATATCAACTCAACTTTTTGTACCGGTCTTTTGTCACCAACCCGATTCCTCGCAAACAGAGAAACATGGTCTATCATTCTACATCCTCTTACCAACTTGACATCATTCCCCAAGCCTTCTAAAAAAACATACTCATTATGCATACACATAAGGCGCGCAAGTGTCGAGCTGGACGATTTTCCCATGGGATTTCCTAAAACCTGCTTAACTACTTTACCTATAGCCAGGTTGTACGTATTATTTAGATCATACTATCATCATAGGAAATAAAATGAATTAACAACGAAAACCTAACAGATTTACAACCTACTTCACTAATAGCAATTCGACACAACCGTACCCGTTTCCGGCGAGCACAATACAATAACTTAAAAAATCCTTTATTTGAATAAGTTGATTGCCCACTCAATAACAGAAACGATTGTTAGATGTGGAAGCTGACATAACATTTCCTTCACGTCTTAACTACACTAAAATATTTCTTCATACTGGTCAACGCTCTTCATAACATGGTCAAGGAATATAGGTAACATCTGCGTTTTTCCAAGATTAAAATGACTGGGTTTTTTTATTCTTTTAATCATTTCATTAACACAAGTTGAAGTAATACGAGTGGCTTTCCGCGTTGGCTCCGACCAGGATGGACAAATATGACGTCATTTACTAACATCCTTATGCTTGGGTAGTACGTAAGAACATCTCAACTTACCCCCGTTTGCCCACGGAGATAACTGCATCAACTTGATTCCCTTATAGTTTTTTGCATAATCTGACAAAACTCTCCCTTCGTCGTTATCAATCCTCATCATCCCTTCATTATCAACAAACAACTAACTCATCCCGTGCTCATAGATGACGGGGCAGCAAGCGTATGTGTCCCCCATGTTGTGATCGAGGGGGGACAAAACCAATCCTTGAAACTGTTCTTTCCATCGTAAAACTTGGTCCAAAGAAAGGTGAGATGAACTCTAAAAGTGAGGAACTAATCTGACTACAAAGACCTGATTTATTAGTAGCGTAGTTAGGGGTAACAACATTCTTGGAGTTATAGTGAGAAGCAGGAACAAAGTCAACCTGACTAAGACGAAACGAGACATGATTATCCTTCCGAGGAAAACATTCATTTAAACCTGCGTAAACACACACTGCATCCGTGCGACATGCATAGGCATGATAGTTATAGACAAGCTCACCTACCGCTTTATTTTTTGTCCAAACCCGTCTAAAACGACGGCCTACCAATTCCAAATAGGCGGAGGGAAGATCAATACTACAAATCGTTTTTTTGCACACCTCACAAACTTTTTCTTTTATTAATTCATCGTCGAAGTTCAACCTAATTCTAACAACTAACCTAGCCGACAAACACAAATTAAACTTTCTTCTACAGGCCTGAGAAAGAACAAGCTTTAGAGTAGAGCGAGACTTAGTGCATGAAACAGAACGGGTCCCATCATAAGCGACAATGAATCGATTTGAATCCCAACTACGTAATGTTCTTCTAGAGGAAGGTTCACTAGAAACTGAATCAATGTATTCTTAGTCGATAGAGAACGGGAGCAGAAACGAAATAGCTTATGAACAGTAATTACAACATCCTTTTTGAACCACTCACAACAGTTTTTAAGAAGATTGATAGGAAGATTCTTAGAAGAAATTGTGGATGATCTTTGACAAGCTTCCAGTTATCCGTAAGAGTAGAACCGAAGGTTACATTAATGGAGAAGGGAGTGGACAGATGAGAATCAAAGGATTTTTTAAGCGAAGAAATAAGACTAATGGAGGTAAAGCCAAGAGAAGGTAGACTAAAAGTCAGGGGAATATTAGCATGGGGTAGAAGGAGGAGGAAAAGAGATGCGATTAGACGATACAGTGGGGGGAAAGGTCAGTGTAGAATGGGGAAGTACTAAGGTCAAAGAAGGTGAGTTGAATAACGTACGTCGAAGCGGAAAACGTTGTCGTTCTTTCCTACCAGGGTGACTTCTGCGCCCATAGTGTCTATGTTTAGAGGAAGAATTCAAGGATGGACCAAAGGATCGGATAAAGAAACTATCAGATTTTAGCAAATTCTGTTCACGGGATGTAAAGATAGGTATTGCAACATAGTCATTCAGACTAACCCGCCTCAACCAACGATATAACTTTCGATTAGTCCTCACCTTTCCTAATGTCAGGGTCGAAGCTACGTGCTCCTTCCATCGAATACCTACTGACTGAGAAGTACAACCAATATATGTATGACAGTGCCATGGTGAGAAAAAAACATACACTACCGGACCAGGACAGAGGTGAAAGTCGGAATTATCATTAATAAAAAACGAAAGTAGATTGCGAAACGTATTACCCCATCAGATTTCATCAGAGATAATAAGAAGAATAATGACGAGACGAAAAATATAAATTACCTCCACAGTAGGCAGCGACCCTCGATAATCACGACAAAACAATGCCAAACCTTACAAGTGTGATACGCTCAGGGCGCCTTCTCACTCATCATTCATATCTTCCGCAGAGGTGGCATAATCATGGTGTTGATCGTCGTCATCATGAGTCTTCTTCGTCTTCAACCATTCATCATAGTCCCGCCGTGCAGGAATCTCGACAATATCGGTCTTCGCCTGATCAAGCTTGATATAGGATATCTCCTCCTCCACATACAACTTTTCGAGATCGGCCTTCTTTCCCGCGTGGATTTCCTTCATTCTATTCTCCCTGAATTTCTTGAGCATCTCTTCCTCCGGATCATGCGCCACGTCAACAGTAATGCGACCTTTCTCCTTGGCCTCACCATCTTCCTGCTCATCCTTCTCACCATTAGATTCGATCTCCACAGCGTTCATGGCTGTTTTCAAGCTTCTTGGAGTTGTCTTTCTCAAGACATATTTTTGAATGGATTGTCGATACTTCGAAGCCCCCATCCTAGCCATACGCTCTTTGAGCACTTCAGCCTCGTGAAGAGCCAAATCCTTCTGCACCAAGGCGTCTTTATACGCCTTATGCAATACTTCAAGATCCTTCGGAGTATACATGGCCTCACTCGTCTTAGCCCTGCCCCTCAACGGCTCCCCAAGTGGACTCTTCTCGGTAAGCGCCACGCTACCCCGCTTCCCTTCATTCCGTATGTACACAACCTCATCTCGCAAATCCTTGAACTCGTTACGGATGTGCGCACTTTCAGTCTTCAGACTGGTCACTTCAGCATTCTTTTAATCCAAAGTTTTCCGGAATCCGCTCAACTCGGCAACTTGCAACCTCAAAGCAACAAGATCATCACTCTTCTTTGCTGTACGCCACTAACTTTTGCTTTCAGGTCCTCGATCTCACAACACAGCCACTGCTCTTCAGATCCCTGATCATGCGCTCTCTGCAAAGCTTCCTTCTCCTGCCGTAGCGATTCCAGGTTAGACGAACCCATGCTTCCCGTATATTTGGTCCTCAAAATATCAAGCTCCTTCCTTAATTTGCTGACCTCAAATTCTTCATCGCCAGGAAGATCGACTTTCCTGCCGAATGCAGACTCACAAACAACCTTCATACTAGACCTAACTATCGGTCCCAACTTCGCCCTCCTGCAACTCCTCTTTCTTAGTCTCCGCACGTTTCTCTTCATCTACCTGGAGTCTCTTCTTTTTCTCCTCCAAAGCTAATACCCTTGCTGCCTCACGTTTACGCTGCCCTCGCTCTTAAGCTTGCTCTTGTAACAACCCATAGATTCTGTCGAATTTCTCATCTTTATCACGCTCCCTGGACCCTCCGTTCCAAGGCCTTGAATAACACTGACCATTGTTGTAACCGCCGTTGTAGTTACCACCGCTATTGAAATTCCCGCCTCCATTGTTGTAACCGCCTCCATTGGAGTAACCATTATCACCACCATAGCTCCTAATCTGTGATGCTTGATAAGGGACGATGGCATTAGATGTACTATCCGCCTGTGCCGATGCTGGAAGAATACCCCCATTTGAAGATGAAGAAGAGTTTGAAGAACCCAACATATCGTTGCGGATATTGGCTGTCATCTCAACACCGTTCGGCAAATTCCGAAAGGGGCATTCACGTATGAAATGCCCAAGTAACTGACATAAATTACAAACTGGTCGTCGATACATGCTGAGAGGACTAACGCGCCCTCAGTAACAATGCACCACAGCGCAAGAAGGGAGATTAGGCTAGAAAAGGAGATAAGAAGGAGGAGGGGAAGGGAGTAAGATAGGAATAAGTTGAGAAAGTAAGGCAAACACTGACAGAAAGTGTACATGAAAGCTTGATGAGCACTGAACATAGTCACTCTAATAGGGTAAATTCCCCATCGGTTATCTATGTGTTTGTTGAAGTAGAGATTGGCAAATCTTCATGCAATGACAAATTGCAAAGTGTGAGCACTCAAAGCCGAATGAAACGACAGAGAGAAAGGAGAAGAGGAAAGGAAGAACGTGATAGGTTGAACGCAACCACTCGACTGGGAACGGTCGAGAGAAGGATTAACCGTGACACCATTATGGAGGAGGTCGCTCGAAGCTCCAAACCCCAGGCAGAGCCTGAGGCCGAGGAACCAGAGAAAGTCTATGGGAAGCCTAGGGAAGAGGAGCCTGCGGACAAGGCTACCGCCGCCAAGAAGAAGTTTAGGTATCAAATCCCGATCTTGACCTTGCCTAAGCTCGACGACACTATTAGCAAGTTACTAGGAACCATGGTGTCGGTGTCTTTTCAGACCATGCTGCAGGCTAGCCCGAGGTTGCTCAAGGGGCTCAGACAACTGTTGACTCGGAGGCGAGTAGAAATAGGCGACAACCCCGAATTACCAGAAGGGGGGAGGGAGGAGGAAGCTCCGCAAGAAGTGGCTAACCTTCAGAGGAGTCACGGAGACTTGGAGGATCTCGAAAGGGCCTTTGCAGACATTCGTTTGAGCTTGCCCGACCAAGAGGGTGGCGAAGTCATGAGATCACCACCCGGGACGAAGCTTAGCTTTCATGCGCTACCCGTAGGGAAATTGAAAATCCAGATCGGGAATCATCACACCGACGCATTAGTAGACGGGGGAGCAGAAATCACTCTCATAAGGAGAGATTTCGCAACGATTACGGGGTGTACAGTAAACAAGGAAGTAACAGGGAGCATCCGGGGAGCTGGCGGGGAAATCCCGTTCGCTGGGTACGTCACGAAGTGTGCTGTGAAGGCAGGGGTCAGAGAATCGATCTGGTCGTTTCAGCGGATGACCGTAATGGAGGAAATGGACCACGACATAATCCTCGGGAGACCGTGGTGCGCGAACATAGAGATGATAGGCATGCACTTGCACGATAGCTCGTACATGGTAGACATAGAGGACCCTGTGACCGGTCGGGAAGAGCTCCTTCGACTCCTTGGAACGGGAGGAGATCCCCCAAAGGGGGAATTGGCAACATGGTCGCCGTCGTTCGAGGATAGCACGCGAAAAGTGGCTTTCGCACGGATGGAGGATATGAGAGAAAGGGTAGAAATCATGATTGAGGAAGCATTCAACAAGAAGGAGTGGATCAAGATGGGCTTGCCCCAGAAGAAAAGGAGGCAGGAATACGAAGTCCTAGGTGTTATGGTAGCGGAAAATGAGTCAGAGGTCGAACTTGGTGCTAGCCTGGCCAAACGGAAAGGAGTGCGCATAGACATGCCAGAAATCGCACTTGAGATCCCCAATCTATTGCAACTCATCAAGGCACTTAGATACCACAAGGTAGGAGTGGATTCGGCAGCCTTGGCCAAGTTTGAAAGGGAGGTGCAAAAGGGATATTGCCTGAATGGGAAACTATTTAGTATTCAACCACGAGTCGTAGAGACGACGAGGGCAATTCCGACTGTTCATTTTTTAGGAGAAACTTCCCGAAAAGAAGTGCTCGAAAGTACAAGCCGGTAGGGAAGAAAGCAAAACCGGTCTCGATCCTACTAGAGACATCGAAGGAAGAGGCTATGGAGAAGGAGGAAGACGTCCTTTGAGTGATCCGAGAAAAAAGGGCGGTGGAGGGACATCGGATACCAGATGAGGTAGCGAACACAATGAAGATAGGGATAGACGGGTTCTTCACGGAGGAAGAAACCGGCCTGATCAAAGGGACGACTGGATGCGAAGTTGATCCCTCCGGTCTGAATCCACACGGTAGAACATGAGTGCTGGAATGATAAGGGGTCATCCTATGAATTTGGGATAGCAGGAGAAGTAACAGACCTCCTCGTAGCGAAGAAGGACTCCTTCGTTGTGGAGCCTACGACATCGCCATACGCTAATCGGTGGTTCGTCTTTCGGAAACCTAACAAGACACTAAGGTGGATTCAGGACCTGCAGAAGTTGAATGCGGTAACCATCCGGGATGCTGGCTCGTTACCCCAGGCTGACTTATTAGCAGAATCGCACACCAGTCGGAGAATTTACTCCCTGATAGATCTGTACTCAGGGTACGACCAACTTCCATTGGATGTTCGGGACAGGCCATACACCGCTATGCACACCCCCGTAGGCCAGCTACAGATGCAAGTAACACCTATGGGATTCACAAACGCAGTGGCCGAAGCGCAACGCAGGATGCTCGCTGTGGCCGGGGACATGTTCCCAGAAAAATGTGAACCTTACATCGATGACAATTCGATCAAAGGCGCGCAGGAGAAGGACGAGACGGAAGTCCAGCCAGGGATCCGATGTTTTGTGTGGGACCACCTGCAGGACATCAAGGATTTACTCCGACGGTTCCTAGTATACAACATTACGGTTAGTGGACCGAAGAGTATCCTAGCGGTACCGGAGGTAACTATACTAGGATTTCATTGCGGTGCTTACGGCAGGAAGCCGGATCCGGCAAAAATCGACAAGATATCACAATGGCCGACACCGTTGCGCACGACGACGAAGGTAAGGGCGTTCCTAGACGTAGTCGGCTTTTGGAGGATCTTCATTAAGAACTTTGTCAAGATTGCTGAGCCTATCCGGGCTATGATCAGGGAAGAAGGAACCATGGATTGGACTGAGGAGCGAGAAGGAGTTGTCCAAAGGCTCAAGGACATATTGACATCTGAGACAGTCGCCCTGTCCGCGCCTTGTTTTAATGACGAAGTGGGGCGACCCTTCATCCTAGAGAATGATGGAGGACCTTTGGCTGTAAGAGGTGTGTTGATTCAAAGGGATGAGGGAGGAAAAGAGAGGTCGATTAGGTTTGAAAGTAGAACCCTGAACTCCGCAGAACGACGGTACTTGCAATTCAAGAAAGAAGTCCTAGCCATCCTGCATTGCCTTAAGACCTTTCAGGGCTACCTATTTGGGAGGCGGCTCATCTTAAGGATCGATCCGACGAATGTCGCAGGGGCTCTGAGGTATTACAGGCCTTTTGATCCGACGGTAGGGAGATGGGTATGATTCATCAGGCAATTCGATTACAAGATCGAACGGATTGCTGGAATCCGCAACAAGGCAGATGGGCCGAGTCGGGTTTGCATCACTCCCGAAGGGATGGAGGATGCAGAGCCCATAGACGTCTTCCTCGAATACGAAGGAGGGACTCTCGCGGTGGATAACGAAATGATGAGCGAGGGATGCACATTGGGAGAACTATTGATCCAGACTTTGGAGAAGGGGGCACCTGCTGTAGTAGCAGAACTGACAGAAGGACCAGTCACCACTTGAGGACACAGAGAAGAAAAGGACTCATGGGGAGGGATAGAAGGACCGAAAGAGGAGCTAATAGCAATGACGGTCGAAGGAGGCCAGGAAGCAGTGATGAGCTTAGTGGAATCTTGGAAAAGGAAAAAGTTGCAATGGGTGGTAAATCAGATGCAGGAAGGAAAGGATGGGGGCAAGGAAGGAGAGGAGTTTTTCTATGTTCAATCCTACGAAGGGCTCTTTCGGGAGATCGGTTTGTTGTTGGTAGGAAACAAACAACCTACGGAAGTCAGTATTAAGGCAAGAGAAGAAGCCGAAAGGTACGTCCTAAGGGGCGGGCATTTGTTCCGAAGGGAGGAAGGTGCTATGCCCAGAACGGTTGTATGCGGAAGATCTAGGCAAGTAGACGTTATCCAGACAATGCACGACGGGTTAGCTGGAGGTTATCGGTCGTCCAAAGGAACACTTGCAAAGATAACGCGGCTATATTATTGGGTAGGCATGGCAGGCATGGTCGCCATATACTGCCAGACTTGCCTGATTTCCCAAGAACAAAGCTCGGTACGAGTCTTCTAGCCGCTTAGACCAACGCGGGTGCTAGGGCCGGGACATCTGGTCCACCTCGACCTTGCGGCCATGCCTGTATCAACGGATGGGTACAGGTATATCCTGGATGCACGAGACAACCTGAGTGGGTTCGTGGAGGCTGTCGCCCTCAAGAAAAAGACAGGGAGGAATGTGGCGAACTGGATAGAAGACTTTTACTTAAGGCATCCATTCGTCAGGAGGTTTATAGCAGACAATGGGACGAAATTTGTGAACCAAGAAGTATTGGGGATGCTTAAGAGACTCTGCGTTCCAATTAAACTCATCGAGTCGTATAACCCTGAGGCCAATGCACCTGTGGAAAGAGGGCACCGAACCTTGAAGAACACGATTGCAAAGCTCGCAGCAGACCATCTGAGGAACTGGCCTAGGTATCTTAAGCAGGCTGTCTTTGCAGAGAATATGACTCCTAAAAGGACAACAGTATGTATCCCGGCAGAACTTTGGTACGAAAGAGAGATCGGCTTTCCTGTGGAAGCCTTGGTACCTACCTGGAATAGGTTAGATGATGATCCTCAAATGACCACTGAAGAGTTAATCGAGGCAAGATGTCAACAAATCCTTAAGAATGAGGAGGTCGTGGAAGACATCGCCAGCCGGGTGTTGGACAGCAGAATGAGGGACAAAGCAAGGTGGGACCAGGTTAAGAATGTCAGAAAGGAGCCACTTTAGGTGGGGGAGACGGTATTGCTAAGGAACTCGGCACTAGAAAGTACTTGGTCGGGACAGTTGGGAAGGAGGTTCAAAGGCCCCTACCGGGTCGCCAAGCGGGTGGGACTGAATACCTTCGAACTGGAAGATTTGGATAAAACTGGATTGAAAGGGCCCTTCCCGGGGCAACGACTGGTCAGGTTTCTAAGTCGGGACCCAGTGGAACAATGGCTTCAGGAGGCCGAAGATAAGGAAACAGAGGAGCCACAAGYTAAWGACTAACCACARYCTTRCCYWYACTATGGTTTGTCTCTGACCATGTTCGTGGGACTGTCATTTTTTTGGGACTGGTGCTTTGGCTTGGACTGACTGAGGTTGAAAGGTAGCATGACTTGGGGGGTTGCAACATCTGGCTTGTGTGACAACGGGAAGGGATGTTTGGGGCATTGTACCATAGTTGTTTACGGGAAAAATATGGGGTCATCACAAACGACGCATTCGCATGTATAAAAAGGGCGTGATGCGAGGGATACTGGGTGCATTTTGGGAATGTCTACCGGCCTAAGGGGGGGGATGCGTAAGTGTATGGGGGGCATTGCGGGTGTTGTTTTGTTATACAAGGCTTAGGAGTAAAATGAGAAAAGACAAAAATGGAATTCGGCAACAAGAACGACAGCGGGGCAATCAACAGGCCTACCGGAGGGGAAGAAGTTGGACCAAGCCAAGGGAGAAGGACAACGAAGAGAAAATTGTACATTGGGCTCATGGGCGGGCCAGTGGTAGGCAGGGGTGGAAGAAAATGTTTGTGTAGGAAACCCTCACCCCTCCGCAAGGGAGAAGGTATAGAAATATCATCTGACAGTGAGGGCGAAAAGGGAAGGGCAAATGCGGAAGAAGAAGGCAACACAGAAATGGGAGATAAGGCTCGGGTGTCTAACGAAGAAGGGGCCAATAGGGGCGAACGACGTGAGCCTTGGCATGGGGAGAGCGAGGGGGGACAAGGTATGAGAGACGAACGTGAGGAGGACGAGGAGAAAAGGGAGAGCCCGCTTGAAGGACGAAGCGGTCACGGCAGTTGCGAGGGGTATGGGACAGGGACAGAGATCCCTTTTACCTACGATCCAAAAAACCTTGCTGGTGGGTATAGCAACATACAGACTGAAGACGAGGGGGGCGAGGAGGAGGATGTGCGAGAAGTCATAGAAATCAGCAGCGGGGATGAGAGGGATGAAATCTCAAGGCCTAGGAAAGAGGGGCGGCCTCCGATGCACCAGCCGGGCGACGGGGCTTTCAGGTGGGAGGACGAGTTCGGGCCCACGCCCAGTCATTGGTTTCAGCAATTGACCAATGTAATCAGGCACGAATGTATTATCAAGACTCGAGAACTCGCAAGTGCAGGGGTGGAAGCCACACAATTGGATTTTTTTTACGAGGCAGAGTTGCTTAAAATTGTAAGGATGAAAAGAGAGATCGAGACCTACGGCCTGGGGGTTAGGAAGCCTGCCAAGGAACGGGGTGGACAAGGAACTGGGTAAGACGAGGTGCAAGGCAGCAATAGGAACTAGGTGTTGACCTAGCATTGAAAGGGGTTGCTGCTTTTCTGTCTGCAGAGACATGAGAATGACGAGAACGTGTATAATATGGGCAAGCTTGCTAGGGAGGAAGTGAAAAGAGGGTCAGCTAAGGCTGTGTCACGCTAAAATAGAAGATAGTTTTTTAGGCTACTTTTTGGATGAGCTACCTTGGGTACCTAAGACAAAGACATGGGATTTGGGATGAGACCAATTGGGAGAGAGTGTATTGTGAAATTTGGATGGAACAAGGATTATGCTTTTGAGAGGGGAAAACCTTCAGTACGGATTGACGAGCAAACCATGACATTGAATGATTGGTAAAGTACAAGAGAGGTTAGGGAACCTATGGGTTAAGGGGCGTGAAGAACACTCCTTCCCTAGGAGCCTAATCCAACTGAGTCGTGAATGAGACTGAGAATATCCGAAACCTGAGAGATCAGGAAGAGTGAAAACGGAAGGGGCGCTTTTGTCTTCTGTTATGGATGAACGGCCGGGAGGGCTAGTGCTGCTTGGGGTCGTGAGCCCCAACTCGAGTGCTAGACGCTAAGTCGGGTGTACGCAATGGATGGTACGTCACTGTGAGAAGTGAAATGGATGGTACATTACTGTGAGAAATGGAATGAATGGTACATTACTGTGAGAAATGGAAGAAAAAGAACAGCACGCAAAAGATGAGATGACCACCTTCTAACCTCCAAGACAGAAATGGGATCCGTAACCTCGAGGACCACCCCCTCGGGCACTAACTTTGAGAATGGAAAGGAATGACCCTAACCAGGCTGTTCGACTTGAGAATGGAAAGGAATGGTCCTAACCAGGTTGTTCAACTTGAGAATGGAAAGGAATGGCCCTAACCAGGCTGTTCGACTTGAGAATGGAAAGGAATGGCCCTAATCAGGCTGTTCGACTTGAGAATGGAAAATAACGACCCTAACCAGGTTGTTCGGGAATGGCCCCTGACAAGGGTCATTCCTTTTGAAATAGGCACTTGGGTCCCCTGCATATTTGATTGAGAAAGGTTGATTGAGGATGAACTGGAATGAGCAATAGGAGATGGAAAAGGCCGGTGGGTCGGTCATTGAAATAGCCAATGGAATGAGAGAGATGGGAAAGGTCGGTGGGTCGGTCATTGAAATAGCCAATGGGATGAATGAGAGAGATGAAAAATGTCGGTGGGTCGGTCATTGAAATAGCCAATGGGATGAGAGAGATGGAAAAGGCCGGTGGGTCGGCCATCGAAATAGCCAATGGGATGAAAGAGATGGGAAAAGCCGGTGGGTCGGTCATTGAAATAGCCAATGGGATGAGAAAAATAGAAAAGGCCGATGAGTCGGTCATTGAAAATAGCCAAAGGATGGATGAGAGAGGTGGAAAAGGCCGGTGGGTCGGTCGTTGAAATAGTCAATGAGTTGAATGGAGGAAATGAAAAAGGCCGGTGGGTCGGCCACTGAAAATTACCAAGGGGGCGGAAGAAAAATGCGAAAGAGAAGGACAAGATAAAGAAGGCGGAGCCTTAAAGCCGAGAAGGGCAGGGACTGTTGGGACGGTCACAAAAATTGGGTGTTGAGGAATGAGAAAATTGAGGATTGAGTGGGCGGAAGGGTCAGTCTTGAGAAATGGCTATTGAGAGAACGACCGCCAGACCGGCCGTGAGGGTGGCCTTGTTGACAAGAGGCTGTCAGACCAGCCATGAGAATCAGCCTTGGAAATAGCATTGGATTGAATGATTGAGGATTGAATATTGCATTGCATAGGCAGGGGACCCTAGGCAACTTGAAATTGACTTGGAAATAACATTGAAATGAATTTCTCTTTTTCTAGTCTTTGGCCTCAGCAAGAGGGGGATACCAGTGCTCGCACCGCGACCCCAAGACCTCTATCCCTGTAAGGGAAAAAGTCTCAGTGCGACCTGTTCCTCTTGGAAGGGGATGAGGGTTAAAGGACCAAGGCACCTACCACTTGGATCGGTGCGGGACGTCCGGAACCGACCCCGACAACGAGCTCTAGTGAGGAAGTTCAAATTGCGTCTCGTGTTGAACGCCTAAACGTCAAAGGGTGAGGGAACGAAATGGGCGAGAGAGCCATTCTTTTTTTCTAGTCTTTTTTGTTCTCCTCAACCACACGCCATGTCGTTGAGGGGCGGCATGGCCGCTTGGAATGGACCACGGCGGCTCGTGTTAAATTGAGCAGCATTGTCCAGAAGGGAGGAGTTGGGTGTGGTACTGGGTGGAAGCTGCAACCACCACGAGGCGAGTGACGCCGCCCCGTCGGAGCATTACAATCGCTTCGAGACTAATTGAGAGGTCTTCGTAACTGCACTCGTGGACTAACTTAGAGCCCCAACTCTCTTGAAAGGAAGAGGCCGGATCCAAGAAAACACCACTCGGGAGGAACGATTCGCGAGGAAGCCCTTACGGCAAGACGGGGTCCTGGGAAGCTTGGACTGGACCTGCCTTCCAGATATGAGGAGGTACCTCAGTAATGACGCTTGTCTCGTAAGCGACAAAAGGTCGGATGAAGTAAGGGGATGAGGTGAGTTATCAGCAACGGGGGGACTGATCACCCTTTCTTTTTGGGGCTGATGGGCCGGCATCCGCCTACTCGTCGGTGGGCCAAAGGTTGCGTACCTCCGAGTGAGAACTAGTTGTGCGATGGGGACATCGCATTTTGAGTAGGGGGAAGGTGTGTAATCCACCAAAGAAAAAGCGTGCAAAAGAGAAGGGTACCATAAGCGTAAGAATAATGAGTAATTGACTTTGCGCAGGCTTGAGAAAAGGTCTGGCAAGATGTCAAGGAGAAAAGAATGAATGAGTAATCGACTTTGCGCAGGCTTGAGAAAAGGTATGGCAAGATCTCCAGAAGAAAAGAATGAATGAGTAATTGACTTTGCGCAGGCTTGCGAAAAGGTCTGGCAAGATGTCCAGAGGAAAAGAATGGATGAGTAATCGACTTTTCGCAGGCTTGAAAAAAAAGCCTGGCAAGATGTCCAGCAAAAAAGAATAAATGAGTAACTAATGTTGCATGAGCTTGAGAAAAGGTCTGACAAGATGTCTAGAAGAGAAGAATGGATGAGTAATTGATTTTGCGCAGGCTTGAGAAAAGGCCTGGCAAAATGTCCAGAATAGAAACGGGTGAGAAATTGATGTTGCATGAGCTTGAGAAAAAGTCTGACAAGCGACTTGTGTGATTGATTGGGCATAAGCTTGAAAATGGGTCAAGCAAGACGTCTGGAAAAGAAAAAGACTCGTATGATGGACTATATATGGATCTGAGAAAAAAATTGGCAGGCTGGGAAACAGATGAGTATTTGAAAACAGGTCTGATAAGTTGTGTGAAAGAGAGATGCACAAGGGATGAACTGGGCAGCATGCATGAAAAGGTTAAAAATAAGTAAGGAACAAGAAAGGACAAAGAGTGATATAAATGCAAAATTGGCAGGACCTAAGGAGAGTCGGGCGAAAGGACCCTTGGGAGA